CTCTACTTCTGTCTGTGCTCTTCATTAAGTAGTTGAAGGGACATTCCTTGCACACTCCGGTGGTCTTGGCCTTCTGTTTTCCTTTGTTTGAACTACCCTTCCACCTTCACATCAACCAGCCAACTTGGTACCTCTTCCCTCTAAACTCTGTACATCTCATGAATACTTCCAGATACACCATACCCCACAACAGTCTCTCATTTGGTCTATTTTCATACCTAGTACATACATGTAACAAAAGTTTTGTGAAATAATATTTACTGTGTACTCCAATATTTTCATTTTATTACATTCTATTCTCCAAGGCTGAAATCTGTTAAACCAAGTGATTTCATGGCCCCACTAATGGATCATGACCCAGAGTTTTAAAACAATGAATTAGATCATAGATCCTTAAGCTCCTTTTGCTTATTCCTCTACTATAAGGCACATAACAAGCAGCCACTCAAACAGTTACATTGAATTGGAAAAAGGGTTACAAACTCAGGAGTCTATGTAAATAATATAATTGATTGAAAAGGATATGTGTGTGAGAGAAGAACAGCCCAAACATGATGATGCATGAATGGTATGTGACCCTTGACCTCCCTGTCTGGGAGACAATAGGGAGTGGTGGGGACCTTGGGAGAATCAGAGAGAACAAACCCTGTTTTAAAGGGGAGGGATGCCATTCAACTCCAAACAATTGCCAATTTGAATGCCCAATGTTACCAGAGTTTTTGAATTAAGGACTAGTGGCAAATTAGGATTTTTGTGTAATCTTCCAATTTTTTTTTTCCCTCAACCGAGGGCATGTTTCCATTTTTTTTGTTCAGGTAGAGTGGGAAGGAGAGAGGAACAGAAAGAGAAAGAGAAACATTGATGTGAAAGGGACACATCAAGTGGTTGCCACCCGCAGGACCTATCAGGGCCGGGGACAAACTGCAACCGAGGTACACACCCTTAGCGGAAACCGAACTCAGGTCTCTCTGGACCGCAGGCCGACACTCTAACCACTGAGCAAAACTGGCCAGGGCTTTTTGTTTTTTTGGTACCTGACAGTAGCGGGAACTGAACCCGGGACTCTCTGGTCCACAGGCCGATGCTCCAACTGCTGAGCCAAACTGGCCAGGGCCAGTCTTCCAATTTTTAAATATAAATCCATTAAAAAAAATTTTTAGTGCGCCCAGGCCTGTTTGGCTCAGCAGTTGGAGCGACAGCCTGTGGACTAGAGAGTCCTGGGTTCGGTTCCTGCTAGGGGCACATACCAAAAAAATAAATAAATTTTTAGTGTATCAGCCTATGCCAAGACAATCCATGCACCAGATGTGGATGTTGGCCAATTAGCAGCTTTTAAATTAATAAAATTAATTTCCCAGGGTATCAGACCGAATTGACTAAATTTCAGAGAGACTCATTCTGTTCTGACCTGCAGCTGTTTAATAGTAGTTTGAAGTTAGTACATAAAGGTGAAAGATTTGTTGTCTTGGTTGGAATTTTTCTGCCTAAAAAAAGGATTCCAATTTCCATCTTTTCCCAGTTTTTCAGTTCCTTATCACCTCTATCCCCAAGTGGCCTATCTGCCACCACTAAGACTAAAATGTAGTTACTTCATTCAAACACTGCAGTTTCAGAGTCTTAACAAAAGATAGGTTTGGGGGAAAGAAAAAAAAAAAAAAAGATAGGTTTGTTCACTTGTTTACAAGAATTCATTCACACTGGTTGTGATGAATAAACAGCAAGTCGTTTGCCCTGTGCATCCAATCACTCTTCTCCAAAGCCAGTTTCTGCTGTGGCTTTTTTTGCTCCTGCCCTGCTGGGGCAGTGGATCTGAAGAAGCAAGTTGAGGAACTGTTTTCTTAGATAACTTAAAAGAAACAACAAAATTTCTCACCCTGGTATGTGTACATGAGAGTGATTCACCCCTGAGAGTTAATTAGTACTAATTATGACCAGCCTGACTTGTCACAGCAACAAAATTTCTGGCATAACTTGCTTACTCTTAGACGGCAGCTGCCTGCCCCCACCTCTCCCCTCTGCACATGCTTACTTATGAAGCTCACCATTTTTAAAACATGGTGTGTGCCTTTCAAGGAATGATTACTCAAAATGGGAAGGGACTGTGGAATGCTTGAGTAGGGATTCAGCTCACAGGTCGTTACCAAGAAGAAAACATGTTAGGAAGAGAAAAACGGTCTTCCTCACTACATCGTAAATGGAGACATCAGCAGTAAAGAAGGGTGATTACCATTTTTCCCGTTTTATCTTTTCCTATTTACATGCTAACCCTTTACCGGGGCTCCCATTTGCGAAGGAAGCTGCATTTCTCAGTTTGTTTTTAGTGATGTTGTTCAGTGCTGCTGTGTTTCCAGCAGCGCAGGAGAGATTCCAATAAAAGCATGAACACGCGAATTCAACACCTTCCTTCCAACGGTCAGTCAGCCCTCTCCCAGCCTGCATTGAACGGTAGGAGTCTTTTATCCTTTGTCTGCTTATATACGCCCCCCCCCCCCACACCCCCTTTTGAGATACCCAGGGGAATTCCTTTCAGCTCACCCTCACCTTTCTCATCATTGTCTTGTAGGGGTTCTTACTGGGGTATGCACACTGAACTCAGCACAGGATATGTAAGGTGTAACTTGGCCAGAATAGTTACCTTTAAGAATAGCAACTATTTGACCCAGGCTTTGCATACAATATTATGTTTAATCCTCACCCGATCTACATTTTAAGGATGAGATTACAAGTTTGATGATGTCAAGAAATGTGTTGCCATTAAATCAAGATAACATGACTAGTGACAGAACTGGGATTCAAACCCACCTATTTCCACGATTGCCTCTAATAAATTACTACAAACACCAGCAACCCTTGCAACACGCCCCACTGCGCAAACGCTCGCTCTCCAAGGCTGGGTTCGTTCGCTCTCTGCCACTAAATTTACTCCCAGCGGTTGGCTCGAAAAGCCAATCAGATGCCGCCTCTCCCCTCTACCCGACCAATGGGAAGGCTGTTGCTAACACCAGTTATATTTTTAGCAATTCTGTTCCCTGAAACCCAGAGGGTGGGCGGGGCCTCTGCCCGGGTGGAACACTAATGGGGAGAGGAAAGATGAGCCGAGAGAGGGGAGGGGTGAGGACGGGAGAAGACGGGAAAGGAAGGGAAGGGAGAGACGTGAGGTGGAGTGGGAGGGAAGGAAGGGCGGGAGAAGTGGGGTTGGCGAAGGGGGCGTGTAAGTGACGCTCTGCCTCTCGCTGACGCACGAGGTAAGTAGTCCCTGGAGGTGCCCCAAGAGCTGAAACGCTCAGTGTGGGGGATGGGGGCTCTCTGGCTCCGCTCTCGTGCACCTCTTTGCTGCACGGTGGAGCTTGCCCTCCATCCCGGCATTTCTCTGCTGCAGTCAAGGAAAGCGCACTTAGACCCCCGTGCTACTGTTGCTCTGTGCCCTTGCCAAAAAGAATGATCAAGGGGGAAAATGCAAGCTGTTCGTAGCTGGAAACTTTGGGATCGCGCCACCCCACGTGGGTTCGGCGGCCGCCGTTGGGCTGGATATGTCTGCAGCGAGAATAAAGGTCGGGGGTGGGAGAGAATGGGGAATGGGCGATTAAAGGAACGGCAGAAGACTGAAGCTCCCGGAGCCCCGGGCCTCGCCACCCGACAGTCCGGGCACAGGTTGTGACCTCACCCAGGCACAGGCCTCCCTACACCTGACTCCGCGTCCCACTAAGTCACAAAGTGGACCAGAGCCCGCGTGGCTAGAGCACGGGCAGGAGGCTGCAGCGCGCGGGCCTGGCGCTCCACGTGCGGGTTCGGCGAGCCTCGATCCGCCGCCTGAGGGACCGTCGGGTGCGGGAGCCCGGCGCCCTGGCAGACGCCAGACCCCGCCGGCTGGAGCTGTTATTAAAAGAAATGTGGCTTTGTAGTGTCCCGCATGGGGGTCGCCAGCCGGGGAGAGAGGACGGCGGCGTCCGTAGAGGGGCCGGGCCCCACCGCGAGGTAACGGGGCTCCTGAGGCGGTTCCTTTTCCTGGCCGCCCGGCCTCTTCCTCGCCTCCCCTTCTCCCGCTCGGCGTGCCCGGCCCGTTTCCCCATCGCCCTCCCTTGGACGTTCCCCAGCGACGCATGAGGCCCTAACCCGAGATGATAAAGGTCCGAAACGTTTCCAGAACTCGCGTCGTCCGCTCAACCCTCCCCACCATCACCACCCGTAACTGGGGCGGTGCGAGGGCCGCGGGGACGGCCGATCGCCCGGGGCTGGAGGGACTCGCCGAGGTGGCCTGCGGCAGGCGGAGGGCCGAAGACACAGCGTGGATGTTCCCCTCCCCGCAATGTCCCTTCCTTCCACACACCCAAAGAGCGCAACTTGGTCCCAGTCCAGGCCCCTGCCCTGGCGGAACTCGCTGTCCACCTGGGGAAACACCTTACACAACAAGCACGATTTCTGAGTGGTTTGTGGAATGAATACAGTAACTATGAGGCTGCGCTGCGATGGGCAGGGCAGGCGGCCTTGCTGACGTTTGAGCTGGGACCCGAGTGCTGCAAGGGGGTCGGACACAGGAGGGTGGGAATGTGGGGGTCGCCAGGTGTCCGCGAGTTCGCCGAGGGCCTCGCGGCTGCGAGGGTTAAGCCGCCCCGCCGGCTCGGAAGTAGTCCCGGCGCCGGCCCCGCCCCTGCAGGGCGGAGGGACGCATCACGCAGGGGTGGGGAAGCCGTATCCTTGCGCAGGGTTGCTAAGGGTGAAACTTTTCATTGACTTTGCTCACTTCGGGCCGGGGCGCGGGAAGGTGCGGGTCGTCGGCGGAAAGGAGCGAGTGGCTTGGGAGACGCGGGGCCAGAAGGGCAGGACCTCCCGCCCGCCACAGCCCGGACCGTCCTCCGCCCCGCGACACGAGCCACTCTCCGGTCCGCCATCCCCGCGCCGTCGCCGCCGGCCGGCCCGCCCTCCGTCCCCCGCCGCTAAGCCCGACCTCCAAAAAGCTGAATTATTGAGATTCATAGCCCATAACACCCCCCCCCCAACTAACCCCCAACCCTCAACGAAGAAAAGGACACATCGGCCCTGGCCCACCGGCGCCCGAGAAAGGAGGGGAGAGAGACCTCCGTCCCACGCCCAGGACCACCCTGGAGGGAGAAGCCGCCCCACGGCCGGCAGCCCGCCCCGCCGCCGCGGAGACCTGAGTGAGTGAATGGAGGGTGTGCGGGCGGGGGCCCCCTGACACCTAACAGTCCGACAGCTTCCCCACCCCTGCCCCACTCCTGCTCTTGGCTTTGCTGGACGCTCCACGTTGCTGTCGCGCCCCCTCCTCTCGCCCGGCCAGCATTTTTCTTTTCCCTCCCACCTCCCCTCGAGAACCTCCCCCCCTTTCCCTCTGTGCTCTATTCCTCTCCTTATGCCTGCTCTCATCCTAGGATACCCCAGAGCCCCCTTCTCTTCCTCTTCCAAGTGTGGCCCCCTCCTGGGTGGGGTGCATTTCCTCCTTGTCTACCTCCCTCAGTTCTTAATATCCTAGAGACTCGCTACATTTTTTTTTTTCCTCAAAAAAAACAAAACTCACCACCATTCAGTAAATCAGAGGAAGGAAGGGGATACAGGCCTTGTTTTTTTGCTTCTTTTCCCGTGTGCGGGGAAGTAGGGTGGCAGTAATTCGTAGGGTTTGTATCTGGCCCGGTGAAGTCTGAGGGATGAAGGGTGGACAACCCTTTTGGTCCAGAGGTGACTGTCCTCTGGCCACTGAGCCAGAATTCACCATTTGGGCCTAAGCTCTTTATTCTCATTAGTGTTTTCAGGGAAAACTGGGCGAAAAAAGTACCGTTAGAGCAATACCAGTGTGTGGATTCTGGTTGATCCTGGGAGCCCTACTCCTAAGCTCCTTCCCCTCCTGTCCAGAGAATGGACTGTGTCCTTGACTAGAAAGGGAGGGGAAGGAGGGAGCAGAGAAAGAGGAGGGGCAACTGCAGGCCTTTTCTCACACCCCAGAGAACCAGAACCTCATACAGCAGGCTTCAACTTGGAGGCCTGTGGGCGGGGGCCCTGGGGGCGGGTCTTGGGGGCCTGCTCAGTATACTAACCTTTTGCTCCTTCCTATCCACCCTGCACTGGTCCCTCACCTTAGGTTTTCCAACAGAAAAACATCTCTGTTGCTTTTTTGGACACCTGTCCCTATCCTCCTCTTAAGCAGAGGGGGGAACAGCTTGTGTGGGAGGAAGGATTAGGGAGATTTAACGCCCTGTAGGGGAGTTTTGCGGAGGATCTGGTAAGTCAGGTCAAAGAGCAGTCCTTGATTGAGAGGAGACTCACAATTTTAAGTATGGGAAAATGATGTTCAGGTATCGGATGCACGGTTATTCCTTCTCTGCCCAGGAACCTTTTTCCATTTCCCTCCCCGAGTCTGGTCACTCGGGCTTGGATTAGAAGAGGTGTGAGGCTAGGGCCCTGCTGGCATTGGGCCTTCTGATCAACGGCCTGGCACCTCCCCGCAGTTATAACTGGGAATTTCTTTGGCCCAGAGGACTGGAGAACTGGCTTTTAATTCTTGCCATTACTTTCCTGGCTGTTGGGGTGCTGGAGCCGAGCCTACTGCACTTTAAATGAAAACGCTCTTTTCTTTTTAATCCACTGTACCTACAGCAACTCCAGACGGAGACCACCAAACCCCAGGAATACAGATTAAGCAGCCGCGGTGGGGGATGGGGGTGGGAATGTGACCTTATCTATTCCAGCCCACCGCCTTCAGCCAGGAAACTCATTTGAAGCAGATCCTTAATTCAGCAGTCATGAGAGGTGGTGAAGAGAAAGGGAGAAGAAAAGTTTAGCCTCTTGGAAAACTAAGACATGGATATGGTCGGGTGATAAAATACAGCAAGCAGGCTTTATGATTAGAATTTATATAAAATGAATTAGGCGGTGGGCGGGGGAGGGGCCGTCCGCCGCAGCGCGCATGTGCATCGGAAACTTTTCCATGGTTCGACCCTCGGCCAGTTCCCTTTACTGGGCATGCGTTGTTTGCTGGCTGAGCCTTCGCAAAGTACGCAGGGAAGTGTAGTGTTCAAAGAAAGTAGGCCACTTGCTTCAACTCGAGGCATGAGGTGTCTGAGGAACACAATTCCCAGAGTGCAGAGCGCGGCTTTGCAGTTAGCCTGTCTTACTTGGGGGCTCGATCAAATCATCTTAGCTTTGGAGGAACCTGGAGTGCCCTAGAAAAGGCCCTCTTAGGCGGAAGGAAGGATCCTCGCTGTCTGACTTCAGCTGTGCCAGCCCATGTTTGGGTGGGATGGTGTGAGACTCTGGGTGGAGTGGCAAAGTCACTCGCCACAAGCCTTGGAAGCCTTTCAACCACACCTGCCCGTTGGGTGCTTTAGGACTGATGGGGTCGGTTTGTCCCCCTGGAACTCGGCTCCGACTCCCTGGCACCTAGTTTATGACACCTACTGGCCTTGTCATACTTGAGGATTCTCCTCCCTGGCTCCTCTGTTCACAGTCACTTGAATCCAGTTGTGTTTGATTGTAAAACGGTTTGGATGTTAGGATTTAAGGTTCTGATGGTTTGGGAGCCTGGTGGGTTCCCTTGCCATTCTCTTTTTTTCTCCTTTAAAACATGACAGTTTTTCTTCTTAAAATTATTCCTTTGCATTTTTTTTTTTTTTTTAATCCTCACCCGAATACATTTTTCAGTATTTTTTTCAGATAGAGTGGGAGGGAGGGAGAGAGAGACAGAAACAGAGACATCGGCGTGAAAGGGATACATCAGGTGGTTGCTACCGCACGACCCAACCAGGGCCGGGGACAAACTGCAGCCAAGATACGCGCCCTTAGCGGAACCGAACCTGGGGGTCTCTGGACCGCAGGCTGACGCTCTAACCGCTGAGCCAAACCGGGCAGGGCTTCCTTTGCATTTTTGTTAGACGTTTTCTCTGGAAATTTTATTACCATGTCGTTGTCTGTAGCCACCCAACCCCCATTTTTGTCCATTAACGCACTTTAAAACACAAGTCAGCAAAAGGGATCTGAATCCAGGATTAACTTTGTTGCTAAAAGTAAACAGGTGAAGGAGGATAAGATTCTAAGTAGATAGGGCAATTTATTCCCCCCACTTGCAGCTTTTTAATATATTGACCAAAGATAGATTTGCCCGAGTCAAAGTTGGAAAAATTCTTAGAGTCCTTTTCTACTGCTTAACCCAAATCTACTTGTTTCTTTTCTAATCTTACCACATTCTATGAATATTTTATATATAAGTTCTAGAATTTGTCCATCGCTTAAAAAAAAAACATCAGAGTGGTCACTTCTATCTTTAGTTAAAGACAAAACAGCACCAGTGCTTTAATCCTCTGTCCCATAAGCTTGAAGTCAAAATTAGAGCCTAAGCTGATAGAGCAGAAAATCTCATTCTAGTTGTCTGGCTTTTGTGTAAGGTTCCACCCCACAGCCATCTGGCCTGGCCTGTTCTCCAATTAAAGAGGCAAAAGTGGCATTATATATACTTCCTTATTTATGCAGCAGCATCACTGAAGTATCTGAGGTATAAATTGGTGTGTAGCTTTAGTTGCTTATGCTGCAGAAAATGGTCAGCTGGGCAGGGCTGATGACAGTGGTTCTATTGTATTTTGAGGTCGGAGGTTTATTTCCCAATGACTGGCCTGTATTTAAAATGCTCCCATTTTGAGGCTGAACTCAAAATTAGGGGAGGTTAACATGGAAGGCAGATACGCCTTCAAGTTTTAGGAAGGTTAGAAAGGTGTAGGACCATACCAAGAGGCTATGTGATGCCTTGAGGATGTGTCATGATGGATTCAGGCCTGTTTTACCTTTCTGAAAACACTGTCTTTAACTTCGAGCACATTCTTGGGAACCAGTGCCAACTTTCTTGACAATTTTTTAGCCTCCTTTGTGTTGGACACTTCTGATGGGCTATTACTGTTGCCCTTACATACCTCCATTCTTGAGGGGAAGCTTAAGTTCCCCGTGGTGATGAACCCAGTCCTAAGAAACAGAAAGGCTCTTATCTTCTGCCATTCGTCTTCTCTTAAAACCAGAAGGACCCTGGAATTGGTTGGAGATTAGTCTTTGTTGGAGGCTGGGATAGAGGGAAGATAAGGGTCTCCTGAATCCTGAGCATCACCGGGGGGGGGGGGGGGGGGGGGGGGGCTTGGAAGAGACCATGCTCATGGCACCTCTGTTGACTGCCCACGTGACCCTCTGCCTGCTCAGACTTGAAATGAGAGCAGGACTAGACCTAGCCAGGTGTGTGATACTCCAGACTGACCAAGTGTATCTTCTCTGAAACTCGCCTTAGAGAGCTTCGCTTGAGGAGTCAGGCCTAAAAATGCCCCTGGGAGCCATGGCCCAGGTCTGAAAATTACAGGGAAGTGAGCTGAGACACAGGTCTGAAAATTACAGGGAAGTGAGTTGAGGCTGGTGTTCAGAAAACTAGAGGTCCTCAAGCCTAGAATTAGCTTCTGGATACTCTGCTAGATCTAGAAGGGATTTTAATCAAATTCCAGCTTCAGGTCTACCACAGGCCCTTTTAGGCGGAAAGAAGAAGCCCTTGATGGATCATGGATTAGTCTTGTCTCTGTGCTGAGCTCAGCAGCACAGTCTCACCCAGTGGTTTGTCTAGGAACATGTTCTGGCCTTGTTGGCCCTGGAAGGGAGGTGGCCTTTTCAGTTCAGTTCATCCATAGCATGAGCCTGGAACTGTCATTTTGGAGAAAGTGAGGAGATGAGGGTCACTGACTCTTAGGACCTCACAGATCATCTTCCTGAGACTTGAGGCTGGCCCAGAACTCAGGAATAAACCTGTTTGACCTCTGTGCAATCTGGCTGTGAGAGACTCCCAAAATAACAATCTGAGTGTTTATCTTGGGCTGCCTCCTCTCCAGGGATCTCCAAACACTTGATAAATCTGATCCTGTGCCAAGGACAGGTGGTCACACTGTCCCTGGGAGACTGAGTGATGATGGATCCCCAGCTGGAAGCTGCAGGGTGATGGAAAATTTCTTCTCTCTACCCTCCTCATCACCTACCCTCTAGCCAGAAACTACAGAGATACCCTTAGGCCATGCTAGTGCTGCTGTTAAAGGTTTGTTAGCCAACAGGACTCTCCTCTCCTCTCCTTTCCTCTGCTGCCCTGGGGCAGCCCCCATCAGCAGTTCCATTGTTGGCCCAGGCCTCTGGTTTTGACAGGTCTTGATTTTTTTCTTGGGGCTCATACTCTCATCTCTATTCTTGGAGGCTGTCTGATGGCAATGCTTGCCTTGGTTACGCTGTGCAATTCTGAAATTAGTTCTGCAAACTCAGAGTGAGCCAGAGCACATACACACCCTGGGAACCCAGCATGACAAATTGGATGTGACTGGAGTCCAAGCCCCCAGTGAAAAGTTGGCAGTGCTACTTCTTGTTCAGTGACCTGTATCCCTTTACACTTAAGGAGGAAAACTAATGATTTTAAACTTATATCTTGGCCTGTGGCAATTTGGGAGCACGATTTCACCAAGATATTACAGAGACAAGTAACTGCCCTGGCCAGTTTGGCTCAGTGCTATAGCGTCAGTGGAAGACCAATGAGTCGCAGGTTCGATTCTGGCCAAGGTCATATACCTCTGTTGCAGTTCAGTCCCCAGCCCTGGGCGTGGTCTTGCAGGAGGCAACCAGTCAGTGTGTCCCTCTTATGTCAATGTGTGTGTCTCTCTCTCCCTTTCTCTCCCTCTCTCTGCCTCCCACTCTATCTGAAGATAAATAGAAAAAATATCCTGGGTGAGGATAAAAATAAATAAATAAAATAATAATACCAGGTACAGTGTGAGGTGGTTTACATCCTTGAACTAACCTAATCTTCATGATGACCTCATATTTCTGATCAAACTAAGGCTCAGAAAAAGTGACTTACCCACAGTCACACAATTAAGCTAGTCACTAGTGGGGCAGAAATGGGAACTTAGGTCTATGTAATCTGAAGTTGGTGTTTTTCTGTCTGTCCTTTGCCATGGATCCCCCTGGTTTTCTGCATTTCTACTCATGATGCCCCCTCTTGTTTCCCAGAGCCATCTGGAGCCCAAGGCTGCCTACCTTCCATCTTCTGCCACTGTCCTTGGCTTGTGCACGTGCCCTGCACTGATTCTCTGCCTAGGAAAAGACCATGCAGCTGGAGATCAAAGTGGCCCTGAACTTTATCATCTCCTACTTGTACAACAAGCTACCCCGGCGCCGGGCAGACCTGTTTGGGGAAGAGCTAGAGCGGCTCTTGAAAAAGAAATATGAAGGCCACTGGTACCCCGACAAGCCACTGAAGGGCTCTGGCTTTCGCTGTGTCCACATTGGAGAGATAGTGGACCCTGTGGTGGAGCTGGCCGCCAAGCGGAGTGGCCTGGCAGTGGAAGATGTGCGGGCCAACGTGCCGGAGGAGCTGAGTGTCTGGATCGACCCTTTTGAGGTGTCCTACCAGATTGGTGAGAAGGGGGCTGTGAAAGTGCTGTACTTGGATGACAGCGAGGGCTGTGTTGCCCCAGAGCTGGACAAGGAGATTAAGAGCAGCTTCAACCCTGATGCCCAGGTATTTGTGCCCATTGGCAGCCAGGACAGCTCCCTGTCCAACTCCCCATCACCATCTTTTGGCCAGTCTCCCAGCCCCACCTTTATCCCGCGCTCTGCCCAGCCCATCACTTTTACCACTGCCTCCTTCGCTGCCACCAAGTTTGGCTCCACCAAGATGAAGAAGGGCGGCGGGGCAGCAAGTGGTGGGGGTGTGGTCAGTGGTGGGGCAAGTGGCCAACAGCCCCCACCTCAGCAGCCTCGCATGTCCCGCTCTCCCACCAACAACCTGCTGAAGCACAAGAGCCTCTCTCTGTCTATGCACTCACTGAACTTCATCGCGCCCAACCCAGCCCCTCAGTCCCAGCTTTCGCCCAATGCCAAGGAGTTCGTGTACAATGGTGGTGGCTCTCCCAGCCTCTTCTTTGATGGGGCCGATGGCCAGGGCAGTGGGGCCAGTGCCTGCAATAGCAGCAGCTTCGACATGGCCCAGGTATTTGGAGGTGGCGCCAACAGCCTCTTCCTGGAGAAGACGCCCTTCGTGGAAGGCCTCAGCTACAACCTGAACACCATGCAGTATCCCAGCCAGCCGTTCCAGCCTGTCGTACTGGCCAACTGACCACCCACTTGCCTGCGGGGCCAGGAGCACCCAAGACCACAGAAAAGAAAAAGGAAAGGAAAGGCCAAAAAAAGAGGAAAAGAAAAATATACAAAAAGATTTCCCATCTTCTCACTTTCACTTCTAGAGAAAAGATGCAGCCGAGGCATGGATTGGGAGGGGGGCTCCTGACGCACCTGAGTCGTGTTTAACTCAACCTCCTTGCTGTTTTCCTGCCTGCCTCTGATTTATTTGGTTGGTTTGGGTTTTTTTGTTTTTTGTTTTTTTTTCCTTACATGTAGTTTTTTATGTAACATCTTTAATTAGTGGCTTCCTGTGCTAAGAATGGTCCAGATGTGAATTTTGCTGCTCCTTCCCTTCCTCCCTCCCTTTTTCACACACCTGGTTTAGGATTGGTGTGTCCAAGCTCACAGGGAAGGAAGAGCTGCAGCTGGGGCCTGGCCTTCCTCAGAACAGGGAGAGGCTGTCCCATGTCACTGCCTTTATCACCCAGCTATCCTCTCACTCAAAGCCATCCAACCTCAGCAGGCCTTCTTGTGTCCTGCCACCCAAATAGGTCTGACCCTGGCCCCCACTCCTCAGGCATGGATCACAGGGAGGTGCTGGCAGGCCACTTGACACCTTCCCCCGAGAGCCGATGTCTAACTCCAGAGAGGTTAGCACTATTGAAATTCCTTTCATCTCCGTCCTGCAGCCCCCACGCCACCATTCCCACCTAGCATCCCAAACTGTCACCGTGGCCCTGGAGAAGAAGCAGTTGACAGGTATGGGCCTCTCATGCAGCCCCTTCTTCCCTGGGCCTGAGGCTGTGGGTAGGGAGGTGGGGCCAGTGTGGGTGTGAGTGTGTACGTTCCTGTGCATGGTTTGCTGTCCTGTTTTAAAGGATTCCAAGCCATGAAACTTCCCCTCTGGATGTGATTCTGGGTTGTAGCAAGTGCTTATTTTTATGTTTGAGGTGGGGGGATGGGCCAAGGCAGGTTGTCAGTCATTTTGAAGGGTTGTCCACATGGTGGGGTAAGACGGGCTGAGCCTAAGACACTCCCAGGAAAAGAACTGCACAAGGAACTGGATTCCAGATTACGGAGGGATCTTCACTTTTGTTTTTGACCAAAAAAATGGGTTAGCTATGAGGGGCTGAGGGAATACCCAGCCTCTGATGCCTAAGAGAAGTCCCTGGACCCTCCCGTTGTGTGACGTTAGCCCAGGGTGGGAGTTTTCGGTTAGTGCCTGTAGTGGGCAGTCCTGAGCCTTGAACTGATATTTTTTGGTCCTTTGGTTGTAGATGTTGTAGAACATTTTTGCCTCTGCCTGCTTGAGAACGTTTTGGTACTTCTTGCCATCACCTTTCACTGCCCGACTCAACCCCACTGGGCCTTGATGCTGTGAGGAGTGGTCTTCTGGGCAGGCCAGGCTTAGCCATGGAAGCTGGGGTGTCTCAATTATAGAAGAGCATTTGCTCCCCACCTCTACAGGAAGAGAAGTTGTTTCTCCCACCCAACCCCAGTGGGCCAGTTTCCATGTCATGATGGTTTGGCATGTGGGGCACATGGCATCAGGGCCCCCATCACCAGAAAGTACCAAAGCCCTTGGCACCCCACCCCATCTTCCCCGCAACCCCAAGTGGGCAACTGCTGTGGCAGTGGGTCCAGCCCAGACAGACACTGCCAGCCTCCCCTGCACTGGGCACCAGCTCTACCTCCCCCTACGGGGCAGTGCCCTGGCTCCTCAGCCCATCACCATTTGTCCCCAAGACTTCTCAGGGGCCAGCCCAGTCTGGGCCACCCTCTCTCCCTAGCCCTTGGCTCCCCACACAGGTGACAGGCCCAGGCTGCTCCCTGGGAAAGGTTGGATGCTGCCTTATGCCCCCTCCCAGATCCTTCCTCCTGAGCTCACGCACACAGGTACCCACCATACCTGGTCGGCTTGTTTTCTCGCCACATATAGGGAAAGGGTAAGACCAACCCCTTTAGTGTCTTGAAATATGAAGAAAAATGTGTGTTCAGGAGCATGACTCCAGTTCTGGGCTCTTGGGCCCAGTCCAGTCTGTCTTGTCTCAAATCTAGGCATTTTTGCTTCAATTTTATTTTTTTTAAGAAAACAGAAAAATCTGCACTAATTTACCTGGTTTCGTAGGAAAACTTTTTTTTTTTATTTTTTACATTTTTTGGTGTCTGTTTGTATTGAATAATTTGCTACATTTGTAAAATGTAAGAGGTATATATAATATATGTATATTTCTAACGTAAAATGTAATTTTTTTCTTTTCAAGATTTTTTTCTTAAAAAGAGGAGAGAAACAAAGATATTTTTTCAGGAAAAACAAACTTTAAAATAAAAAAGAGGAGAATAAAACCTTTTTCTCCCCTTTCCCCATCCTTAATCTACCCCTCTTTCCAGGAACAAATCAAAAGGTGGATCGTCTTGTAAAGAGTATAAACTTTTAGTCCAGAATGATGTGTTTTTCTCAATGCAGTGAGCTTATAGACTCTAGTTTGACCCCTAGGGATGGGAAGGGGGCATTGAGGCACTGGAGAGGGGCTTGGGGGAGCAGGGCAATGAACTTGTTTTCTTTAGTGAAGGAGGAATACAATCAGCGTTTTGTATTCAGAATGTTGTGCAATATTTTGGAATGGGACATTGGTGTGTTTAGAGATTTAGTTTAAAAACAAAACAAAAAGATTGATCAAATCTGTACAGTTTATATTGTTCCAGATTTTTTTAAGTTTGTATTAAAAGCATGATATATAATAGCCTTCTGCTTGCTTCTGGCTTGTTTTGTTTCTGGGCCCCGATTTGGGATGGAGAGAGTGGGAGTGACATGACCCCTGTCGGTTTCAGGAAAAAATTGGTCATCCTCACCTGACCCCTGGATGTGCATAAGTATCACAGGCTCCTTTTTCTTTTCTTTTTTTCTTTTTGATTTTTTAGAGAGGAAGGGAGAGAGAAACATCTGTGGGCTGCCTCCTGCATGCCCACTACTGGGGATCGAGCCCGCAACCCTGACCAGGAATCGAACCAGGACCTCTCAGTCCATGGGATGTTGCTTAATCCACTGAGCCACACCTGGGCACAGGCTCATTTTTTACGACCTATCCCATCACACAGGACACCTCAGAATGCCCACTCCCACACGTCCTTTTCTACATGGCAACAGGTTCCAGGAGCCTGGGAGGTACCCACAGCTCCTTCCACTAGGATCGTTGAGCCAGGGCTGGAAGCAGAGCCTTGAGAACAAGATGATGCCTTTTGGTGGCTCTTAGGAACAGCCTATTTCCTTGGAGGCTAAAGGAGGGATCAGCCTCTAGCCAGCTCTAGATCTGGCATTTGCTGATTCCAGACCATTAGAGGGCAGATGAGAAGAGCCCACCTAAGTCAGGTTCTGTCCTAAACCTGGTGCTCGTATTCTTGGATCTTCTCTCATTGGGCAATTCTAAAGCTGGAGCTGTTATGGGGTGTGAGGGCCCACCTGAGACGGGCTGGAGCTCAGCCACGTCTCTCCCTGGGCCCCTGTTAATGCTGTCCCTGCTGGTGGTGCGTTGTGGGGAAAGATTCATACAACCTCAGCAGTGATTCACATTCACGTGAGCCCTGAAAGGCCCCTGGGTTGAAAAGAGCAGCCAGGTATTCGTTGAATCTTATTTCACCCTCATTATCTCCACAATACAGTTGAGAAAAAGGGCTCCAAGTTCGGTTACCCACTAATTCACAACGCTAGGAAGTGGGGAAGCTGAGATTCTGACCTGAGTATGCTTGTTCTCATGTATAAAACTGGTAACAGCTAGTTACACTGGGGACAGGCATGAGAGAGCTGACCTTATTCAGCTCCTCTAGACCTTATTCAGCTCCTCTTATTCGGTGCCTCTAGGTTGGACATTGGGCAAGCAGCTCTTCTGGGCATCTGTGAGATAGGGGTCTCCTCAAGCCCCTCTTTCCCCAAGCAGGCCAAAACTGACCCTCTTCTCCCAAGCATGTGACTTGGACCTAGAACCTCTCAGGCCAAATACGCAACCTATACATAGGGTCCTGGGAGCCCTTGATGTCCAGCCCTTCCATGGGCCACTCCTGCAACAGTGTCTGTAGAGTAGAGGGAGGCCTGGGTGCTTGCCAGACATAAGGCCATTCCCAGGGGCCTCACTTTCCTCTGTCCTGCCAGGGAGAAGCCCAGCCTATCCCTGTGTCCAGGCTGCTGGCCCACCTGTGGACTCCAGGGCCCCTTGCACGCATTCCTATTCATGTTAAGATGAATAAGGCACCTAGCATAGGTGCTTTAGCTGCCCTGGAAGCACAGGTGGGACAGCAGTTACAGGACAGGTTTGCACAGGGGGCATGAGAGCCCAGGATCAGGAGGCGAAGAGGAGTAGGAGTTAGCTAGGAAGGAGAAAAGCAAGGCCAAGACCCCTCCCCAGGGGATTTGTCAGGGAGACACCCTTCAGGAAAGAGTCTGGACTCTGCTTTCTTAGAACACTCAGGTTCCAGTCCCACCCCTGCCACTCCCTAGCTGGGTGACCTTAAGCAAACCACTTTATTCACTCTGTCACCTAATTTCTCTCACCCCTAAAATAGGGATAATAACTGTACTTGTGAAATTAAATGAAATAATGAGTAGGAAATGCTGAGCACAGTGGTTGGCCCAGAGAAAACAACAAATAGCATTTTCATCATCAGGGCCATTATTGTCCATCGGCAAATGCCACCAGCCAACCCAGTCCAGGACGTGCCCTCACGTCAGCAAACAGGCTGAAACCTGACCCTGCTAGCAGCAACAGCAGACTAGGGTAGAAAAGGGAACCATTCTTTGAGCAGCAGAGCCTAGGCTGGCTCCCAGTCTGCCCTCTGCCAAAGTGGGAGACTGCTTGTCCTCCAGCAAGACAGTGTCCTGTAAAGTATGTTGATCTCCACTCCTCCTCTCCAGGGGCACAACTTTCGGCCACGGAATGGGATGGGCCCTACATGTGTGTCCCAAAACCTCCTGGGAGTCTCTCCTTGGAGGGACAGATGAGCGGGTGGAGGTGAGTCATGGTGGCAGAACCCAACTCTGTTCCTCACTGTTGGCCTGAGTCAGTGCCCTCCTGTAAGCCAAGGGGATGCCACTGTCTGGTGCCCACCACTGCTATCATCCCCCTGAGTGATTCAGTGAGTGGAGGGACACACTTTCACCCTCCCTCCTCCTTTTCCTGGGCCTGGCCAGCTCAACCAAATCCTGCCTGGTCAGGGCCTAAAGACAGGCTGGAACCAGCCAGGAAGTCTCCAAGTCCCTGGGCAATAGGCACCTGCTGATCTGCTGGTTTTTAATTTAGAGAATTTCACTGCCAGCAAGAGAAGTGTGCTTTCAGTCCTCATAGCTGTCAACTCTCTGTTTAACCTAAAACACCTGTCTCCTCTCTTGACATCTTTCCCATTTGTATGAGGGACAGTGGGGCCAGGCCTCTGCCTGGCTAGGCCTCTGCCCGGCTAATCCCTGTCCAGCTAGGCATTAGGCTGTTTCCTGGGGCCCACTGACTCCCAAGACCTGGTGAGAACCGTGGAGGACCCTGTGCTGTGGCACCTTTCCCAGGGAGGGGAGAAAAGAGTGATAGGTGCAGTCCTGGGTAGGACCACAAGGGTACTGACAGAGAGCTCCCCAGGCAGAAGGACCTGGTCAGGAACTGAGCTGTGACAGGGCTGGGTAAGTCCAGGCAGGAGGAGAAGCCTGGCTCAGCCATAGGGACATCTGGGTCCTTTGGCTAGCTCTGCCCTGATTTACTATATTCAACATTTAATGTTTAACATTCAATATGGAGCCCCCAGAAACACCAGACACTGTTCTAGGCATGAAGAAAATAAAGGCAGACAACAAACAAAATCCCTGCCCCCTAAAGATGATGTTCTGTTAACTACAGAGGCCTAGCCCCACTGTCCCTCATACAAATGTGAGAAAATGCTAGACAGTGAGGATATGCCACTGAGACCATCACAGCTGGTGATGGCAGCTAGGGACCAAGCAGTCCCTTTACATTGGGCAGTTTGGGGGAGGGGGGCCTTCCCAAGGAGGGGGCTTTCAACCTGTGATCTGAATTACAAGAGGATTGGCAGACAGCAGCAGAGGGATCAGCCAATTCCACAGGCAGGCATGGCAGAAGCCAGCAGAGTGTGCTCAGGGACTGAAAAGGCCCGCAAGAAACAAGAGGCAAGTAGCACAAGATGAGGTCAAGGAAATCCTCAGGGCTGCATCATGGGCCCCAGAGTCCAGATGGTGAGTTGGGATTTCATCTTCAATGTGAGAGTTAAGTTTCTCACCCCCAGGTTGCCTCATCTGTGGCTAGGGGAGAGAGAGTGAGAGTGTTCTCACTCAACAAAACTTCCTGGGTCCCCTGCTTTGTGACAGGCCCTAAGCTGGGTCCTGGGCATGATCCTGATGGAGGAGTGGGGGTGCTTCTAGTGGCAGAGAGTGGGGCAGAAGACAGACCCAGGCCATTATGATCAGGTCCATGGCAGAAGCAAGGCAACGAGACCATAAGTGCCCAGAGGAGGCCCCTACCCAGCCCAGGAAGGCTCTTCAGAGGGTTAATAGAAGCTACAGCATGAGGAATTATGGCACAGCACACATGCAAGTTCGTTTTTTAATATATATATATATATTTTTTATTTACTTATTTTAGAGAGACAGGAAGGGAGAGGGGGAGAGAGAGAGAGAGAGAGAGGCAGAAACATCAATGAGAGAGAACACTGACTGGCTGTCTCCTGAATGCCCCCCACTGGAGATTGGGTCCACAACCTGGGCATGTGCCCTGACCAGGAATCGAACCGGCGACCTTTTGGTGCATAGGTCGATGCTCAACCACTGAGCCACACACTGGCCAGGCAACATATGCAAGTTCTTTAGGATGGGGCAGCAAGATGACACCTGGACTCAGAATTGAGAGGGATCCAGGGGGTCAGTGGGAAGGGGAGGCAGATAAACCAGACTCAGAGGAGTGAGGTGGGGAAGCCATAGGCATCTCAAGTGTAGATGACCCCGTCAAGAAGTCACAGATATATCCAGAAGGCAAATATGTAAAAACAAACTGTAAAGCCTCTGAAAGAAAAGAGGAAATCTTTGTGTTCTTGCATTAGGTAAAGATTTCTTAGCTATGACTCCAAAAGAATGATCCATAAAAGAAAATAACTAGGCCCTGATCCGTTTGATTCAGGGGTCAGAGCATCGGCCTGCGAACCAAAGGGTTGCTGGTTTAATTCCCGGTGGAGGGCATGTACCTGGGTTGCAGATTTGACCCCTGGCCCTCCCTGGTTGGGTCATGCAGGAGACAATCAACTGATGTGTCTTTCTCACAGTGATATCTCTCTCTCTCTCTCTCTCTCTCTCCCCCTCCTTCCCTCCCTCCCTTCCACCAAATTTAAAAATCAAAGGAAAAATATCCTTGGATGAGGATTAACCAAAAAAAAGAAAAGAAAAATAACTGGTAAATTGGGACCTAATTAAAAACAAAAACAAAAAACTTCCCTTAGACACTGTTAAGAGGTGAAAACCAAGTCACAGACTGGGAGAAAATATTTGCAAATTATATATCTGATAAAAAAGGCTTGTATCCAGAACCTATAAAGAACTTTCAAAACTCAATTATAAGAAATAAATCCAATACAAAATGACACTTCACAAAAGGAGATATATGAATGGCAAATAAGCACATGAAAAGATTCTTTTTGCCCTGGCCGGTTTGGCTCAGCGGTTGGAGCGTCAGCCTGCAGACCAGAGAGTCCCGGGTTCGGTTTCCGCTAGGGGCCCTTACCAAAAAAAAAAATTCTTTAAAAAAAAAAAAATTTTTTTTTTTCTTTATTGGTTTTGCAGAGAGAGGAAGTGAGAAGGAGAGAAAAACTGAAACGTCGATGAGAGAGAACATAGACTGGCCACCTCCTACATGCCCCCATTGGGCATGTGCCCTGACCAGGAATCGAACCAGTGACCTCTTGGTGCATGGGTTGACACTCAACCACTGAGCCACACCGGCCGAACGTGAAAAGATTCTTACGATGAACCACATCTATTAAAACAGCTAAAATCGCCCTGGCCGGTTTGGCGCAGCGGTTAGAGCGTCGGCCTGCAGTCCAGAGAGACCCGGGTTCGGTTTCCGCTAAGGGCACGTACCCCAGTTGCAGTTTGTCCCCGGCCCTGGTTGGGGCCGTGTGGGTGGCAACCAGTCGATGTGTCTCTCTCACATTGATATTTCTCTCTCTCTCTTCCTCCCTCTCTCCCTCCTGTTGTATCTAAAGATAAATGCAAAAGTGTCCTCGGGTGAGGATTAAAAAAAAAAAGACTGACCATACCAAGTGTTAGTAAAGATGTAGAGAAATGAGCCCAGCCAGTGTGGATTGAGCATCGTCCCATGGACTGAGAGGTCTCAGTTCAATTCCTGGTCAGTGTGCATGCCCAGGTTGCAGGCTCCATTCCCAATAGGGGGTATGCAGGAGGCAGCCAATCCATGTTTCTCTCACATCAATGTTTTTCTCTCTCTCCCCCCTCCTCTCTCTCTCTAAAAAATCAATAAAAACATATTTTTTAAAAAACAATTATGCCCTGGCCAGTGGGTCTCGGTTGGTTGGAGCATCATCCTGCAGACCAGAAGGGCACGTGGTCCTTCAATCCCCGGTTGGGGTGCTTGAGGAGGGCAGCTGATCAATGTTTTTTCTCATATCTATGTTTCTTTCTCTCTTTCTTTCTCCCTTCCTCTCTCTAAAAATATAAAATAAAAAGCCCTGGCCAGTGTGGCTCAGTTGCTTGAGCATTGTCCCATGCATGGAGAGGTCACCAGTTCAGTGCTCGCTTTGGCAGCACATATACTAAAATTGGAAAGATAGAGAGGAGGTTAGCATGGCCCCTGTGCAAGGATGAGACGTAGGTTCGTGAAGTGTTCCCTATCTTATAATTATTATTGTTATTTTTGAAATTTTTTATCCTTCAGATAGAGCAGGAGAGAGAGAAGGGGGAAGAGAGAGAGAGAAACATCAATGTGAGAGAGACACATCAACTGGCTACCACCCACACGACCCAAACCAGTGCCAGGGACAAACTGCAACCGAGGTACGTGCCCTTAGCAGGAACTGAACCCGGGACTCTCTGGTCCGCAGGCCAATGCTCTAACCGCTGAGCCAAACAGGCCCAGGCGAAGTGTTCCATATTTCAAAAAAGAAAAAAAAGTCACCAGTTTGATTCCTGGTCAGGGCACATGCCCAGGTTTTGGGTTCAATCCCCAGTGGGGGCACGCAGGAGGCAGCCCATCAATGTTTCTCTCACTCCATCTCCTTTCCTCTCTCGCTCTCTCTCGAATAAATAAAAACATATTTTTAAATTTTTTATTATAATTAAAAATAAAAAGTAAAACATACACCTACAATGTAATCCAGCCATTCTGTTCCTAAGTATTTACCCATATATGTCCACACAAAGACTTATATACAAATGTCCACAGCAGCTTTATTTGTTAGCCCCAAACTGGAAACAAACCAAATGTCTTTCAAGGCCTGAATGGTTGAACCAACTCCAGTACAGCGACACTATGGAATACTATTCAGCCGTAAAAAGAAATAAACAAGTGATACATGCAACAACATGGAGGACTCTCAAAATAATAATGCTGAAAGCCCACACCCCCCAAAAAATATGGACTGTTTGACTCCATTTACAGAAAATTCTAGAAAATGCAAACTAATCAGGTAGCAACAGAAAGCAGTTCAGTTGTTGCCTAGGGACGGGAGGGAGGGATTAAAAAGGGGAACAAGGAAACTTTTGGGGGTGATGGATATATTCATTATCTTGATTGTGGTGGTGATGGTCATGGGTGTATAATATGTCAAAACCTATCAAATTATAATATTTAAGTATGTGCAGCTTATAGTATGTAAGTTATTCCTCAATAATGTTATTTAAAAAAAAAAAAGAAAAAGAACAAGCAGCCCAGAAGTGTCTGCAGTATTGAAAGGCACAACTGAAATTTAATCGATCATTCAATAAATACGTATTGACCTCCTACTCTGGGAGACCCTGTTTTTGGCTCTGGAAATACAGCAGGGACAAAATGAAGTCCTCTCCTCACCAGGTTCATGTTCTAGAGGGCTAGATGAACAATAAATCTGACAAACAAGAAAAGCCATGCAGAGAAATATCCTCAGAGAAAAAAACAGGAGGGAGGAGAGCTCTCCTCTGCCTGAGGGAGGGGGTGAAGGAAGGTATCTCTGGGCAGGTGGCAGTAAACTAAGACAGAGGGGTCTCCTGTACCCCTGCCTCTCTGAGACTGCCACTGTCACTGTCCTTCAGCCCCTATCCTGCTCCCACACAGTGAGGGTCTCAGATTGGCTGTGTGGCTTTGCAGGAATACCAGCCTCAACTTTTTTCAGTGGGGAGACAAGGCTGTGCTCAGCTCACATGGGCACACACAGTTCCTGCTCTGCCTAAGCGGGCCTCTCACCTTGGCTCAGCTGGGTTTGGAGACAGACGGAGCAAAAATACCAAGGACGGGAACCACAGGCATCTCAGGAGCCCAGCTGGCTTCTCCTGAGAGGCATCCTAGGGACCAGTCTCTCAGGATTGGGTTGTCTTCTGGGAAGAGGGCATGGGCCGGAGCAGGGGCCACTGTCCTGGCCTCTGGGAGGGCAGCTCTGGCCTCCTTTTCATGCCAGGGCCAGGGCCAGGCCAGGTTGGCCTGAGGCCCGGAGGGACCGGGCGGGAGGTCAGGGGCCACATGGGGGGGCCCGCTTGGCCCTCTTTCTGGACACAATGTCCTGGACTGCTTCACGACTTGGCTGGCTGACAGGGAACAGTGGCTGGCAGAGGGTACGGGCAGCCGGCCAACTGGGGGGGAGAGCAGCCTGGCCTAAGCAAAGGATTTTTTCCTATACCATGTCCTGCCACTTTGGGCAAGGAGAAGACCAGCTTATCTGGGAGGGAGGCAGGGGCCCTGGCACCCTGTGGGCACCTCAACAATCTCTCCCTACCCTGTGCCTTAGTTTCCCCTTACCACCACCAACTGCCATCAATTGAGGTAAGTTCTGCAAGAGTACAGAACCCTGCCAGCATTGGACCTGACCTCATTGCTGTGACCTTGGGCAGGTCACAACCTCTCTGAAACTCAGATCTTCACCTAAAAAATGATATCTGTTTCTTCAGTGTGGGAAGCATTTAGTATAGTTACCCTCACGGAGGAAGCGCTTGACAGAGTTTGCTATAATTGCCACATTAATAAGCAACAATAACAATGATTATGTATTGAGGGCCCCTGTGTGCCAGCTTTACCTACATTGTCCTGAGTCCTCACAATGACCAGAAGGCAGGTTTTATCACCCTCACTTTATATTATAGGTGAGGAAAACTGAGCTCCAAGAAGCAAAGTGACACAGCTGATATCAGGGGACGAGGGGGTCCCCCAGTGGGAACCTAGAGGGTAAGGGGCTGTTGGGTGGACCCTGGGGGTTTCCTCAGGCTGACCTGAACCAGGGAGGGGCCGAACCCAGAGACCCCTCTTGCTTCCCACAGGACACTCCTGGCAGGATCCAAACTCATGAGCTGAAGCAACCAGCAAGGGCTGGTGGCAGGTGCAGGAGAGAAAATACTGATGGAGGGAATCCATTTTGGTGTTGCTGAACGTGGCTTCTGAAGCCCAACTGCCAGACTGTGGACTCAGACACTGTCACTTGTAAGATGTGTGGCCTAGAGGTAGGGTAACTCCCAGTTTTCCCACTGAAAGTGCTGCATCACAGGAAACCCCTCAGTCCTGGGCAAACCAGGGCACTGGTCACTCACCCGTTGGAGTTACAGTGCTCCACCTCTTGGTTTCCTAACTGTAAAAGGACGCCGATTCACCTCAGGTTGCTGTTTTAAGGTAAAATCAGCATAAAGCCAGTGGGGGCTCCCAGTTCAGGATCTGATCAGTGGTAGCACTGATGGGAGCATTGCTCCCCTGGCAGAGGCTGAGCCAGAGGGGAGGGGAGGAGGTCGGATTATCCCCACTTTGCTGATGCAGAGATTGAGGCTCCCTTGGTTTCTCAGCAGAGTAGAAAAGACCTGGACAGATGCCTCCCTCATCCTAAATCTGTTCTTAGGAGCCACTCAAAACAGGTGTTGGGTGGGCTATCTCAGGGAGTGAGACCACAATGGCACTACAGGAGACCCCTAGGTGCTCCCAGGGGCCTTGTGCAGAGGGCAGCCAAGCAGGGCGCCCTGTGCTACACCGACCTGCAGGACCAGCCCCATAGGACCAGCTGGCCCCACCAGGACACAGGGCAGGCCTGCACCATGTGCTCCCTGGGCAAAGGCCAAGGCCCACAGGGAGCTGACTGGTCCAGAGGGGCACCACCTACCAGCCCAGAGCCAGGCCCAGGTCCTGCACTGTTCCAGGTCCTGGGAGGGGGGAGGGGAGAGTTAGGACAGTTCAGTGTCCTTGCTAAGTACCCAGCAGGTGCTGACATGCCTTGGTTTTTCCCTACAACACGAGAAAGAGGACCCGTCATAGCCCCATTTACCAGGTGGGGACACAGGCTCAGAGAGGCCAAGTTTACCCAAGGTCACTCAGAGGGTAGATGGAGGACTCCGTCATCACTGGGCTTCAACGCCTGGCTTTAGAATTCAAGAGACCTAGTGACCCAGGCACAATGGGGTGGAGGAACAGCTGCGGAGGGTTTCCCAGCAGAACACCTCCAGAGCCCCCAAGTCGGAGCCAGGGAGGGAAACTGGTTCAGATAAGGAAGCATGGCCCCAGGTGGAGCTGGGGCTTCCCTGGAGACCCAAGGATCCCATCCAGGGCTGTAACCCTCATCCCCGTGGCCACCCTTCGCTAGACAGCGGCCTCAGTTTCCCCTTGGGCGCTAAGCTGAGGTGAGGGTGCTGGGTCCGGGAAGGCTGTGCCAAGGGAGGGGCCGGCCTCTCCTTTCCCCATCCCCCCACCGTGGCGGAGAAGGGAGGGGGTGGGGCAGGGTTATGTAACGGGCGGCGGGGGGCGGGGCGTCAGCGCCGGGAGAGAACCAATGGAGGCGCCCCTGGGACTGGGCCGGCAGTTCCGTCCTCGGGACTCAGCACAGCCCCCGCCGCGCCCACGGAGCCCCGGGTGGGTGGGGCTCGGAGCGGGCGCGGCGGTCTCGCTCAGGCCTGGGCGTGCAGAGGGGCGGCGGCCCTCGCCGGGCGGGGGACCTCCCTGCCCCCAGCCCCTCTCTGGCTCCCGGCTCGGCGCTCCGCAGCCTCCTTGCCAGGCGTCGTCACACCTCCCACTTGGGGCCCAGTGGAAGCAGTTCTGCTGCTGCCCGGCCTCCAGGCCCGGAGCCCCCGCCTCGAAGGTGGCTGGGGACCCGGGGGAGCTCGGAGCCCGCGCCGTCTCTTGCCGCCCGAGCGCCTTTGACGCCCCCGCTCCCCTGCGGCGGTTCCTGCCTCTCAGCTCGCACTTACTTCATCCGGCCTGGCCTGGTGGTTATTTATATCCGCGTCTGTCTCCCAGCAGACAGCCCGAGGCTGCACGCACACCTTATGCAGCAGATGCCCAGGGCTGTGGGGCCTGCCTTTGGCCTGTAGACCGAGGAAGCCCCTTATCTCGGCCTGGCTCACCTTAGTCTTGGGAAAGGAGGAAGGATGCAGGCAGCTACCAACTGAGGTTATCCCCAGCCCCCAGTCCCACCATGACTGCACAGGCTCGCCCTCCCTCCTCCCCGGTCAGGGCATCATCATGGGTTTCTATGTTGCCCACCACTCTCCCTGTCCTCCAGGTTCCTAAAGCAGGATTGTGATCACTGGGAGGTTGCTTAATAATGCTGATTCCCGGGTCTCACACCAGGCCCCTCTGAGTGGGCTTCCTGGGGATGAGGCCAGGATTCTGCACTTGAAACAGGCTCCCTAGGGCAATCCTGGGCTTTCTGAAGTCTGGCAGACCCCGTGGCTGCCTTT